TAGATTGGTTGTGCCGGAACAAACCGGCATCACGCCAAAAACTATTGCGTCAAATTGAATGCACAAAACTGCATAAAAATCTATGTATGTCATATCTTAATTCGCCGTCTAGAAGTGGTTTACTCAATTGCAAATCTACATTTACGAAGTAGCGAGTAAAAAAACTACCTGTTATCAATATTTCGGTTTAGTTAACCGACTTAAAGAAGGAGATTCTAAATTCGGTTGTATTTTTTTTTTATTTTTGTTACTTTCGAACTCCATTTAACAATCGATTTAGAAAAATCTTTTTTATCTGATAGGATATACTTTTAAATTGGTTACATAAATTTTCATCAGGATCAGTTGTTTCAGTATAGTTTAGAAATTAGAATACCTGGTTTTGTCAGGAAGTCTTTTTTTTTAGTAAACTTAAACGTTAACCAAAGAATCTATCACTAATAACTTTTGCTCCTCATTTCATATTTTGCTTCGGAACTTACAAATATGATTCTATCGCCGTCTAGATTCAGTGCCAGATTAATATGAATGCTAATTGCTAATTGCTTAAGATCTTAAATCGCTATTCGCTGTCGTAGCTTAATTGTACTTTTTAAATAATCGAATTAGAAATGTTGAAAACTCCAATGTTGCTACACTTTTGCATAGGCAGATAGTGTGTGTGTGTGTGTAGATGTACTCACACCTCTGTGTAGAGGCGTAAGTAGATTGGAATTATTTTGTTTAATTCCGCTACTATTCCGGAAATTGACGTCTAACATGGAAGGTCATAGAAGTTCTACTAATAGTCGTCGTATCGTCGTATCAGCCATTAACTGTCCATTGCTGTACTACAATATATACTTATAGATACGTTGCTGTCTGTCCCTTTACATTTCCTTAGTCGCTTCTTTTGACACTCACGGTAAAGAAAAGGGCGACCAATTCTAGGGACCACATGGTGACTACAAATTAGGCATGACATTGATGGCGGAAAAAAGGTCAATATCCATATCGGCCATATCGGTCGTCGAATATGTTAAAAGTCTGTTATCAAATATTATATATACAGTACATTACTGCAGCGGCCAGCAACTGAGGCATTGATGGACGAACGTGCAAATGTGGGCCGAGGTTTAGCCGAGGCACACATACGTGAGTCCATTAATGCCTAGTTGTGGTTAAGGCTTGTTTAGAACTTTTCTCAAACAATGCGCGAAAATCAAAAACACAATTTAATTTTTTAAGTTAAATGACGAATAACGAACTATAATAATTTTTCACGCGCCATAATGTTCCTTTGTTTTTTTTTCAATAAACAGTTTTATATTTGCAAGCTAGTCTGAAATTTAAATAAAACTTTATATTAGTTACCTCCTTGGTAGCCATGTTTCGAAGTAAAAGGTCATTCCATTTTTAAATTACAGGACAGATATGAGTTTACATAGTAAATTATCTGGCCGCAAAACACGACAGATACGGATTTTCATACAACTTTTGCCGGCCGCTGCCCGCATGTATCTGGACAGTACGGCAATTTTGATCTATCTTTAAGAAGATTGTCAAAATAATGCTCACATTTCCAAGCATGTTTGAGAAAAATATATTATTTTGGATAAATTTTAACAATATTTGTTATTGACCAGTATATAGATATTGTAACTAAAATATATAAATATTACTATATATTATCCACCCCTATTACTATAGTAATAGTACATAATCTTCAAGTGTTGGCAATCACACGTTTATTAATAGCTGTTTAATTAAACAGACTAATTCTAATCGACTAACCAGTGATATGGACTGCCGTAAAATAATACCTAGGTCAGAAAAATAGTTCTGTACAAGCTTCGCTTGTATGGACGTTCTAACGTGTCTAATGAAGACTTTGAACAAAATGTTTCTTTTACTCACATCATTTCGCGTTCTGAATTCAAATTTATATATATATATATATATATATATATATATATATATATATATATATATATATATATATATATATATATATATATATTTAATAATTTAATCATCGTCCATTAGTACATTTTATACAATTTAAAAGAAAAATATTGATATTGCCAGTATTATTTTGTTGCAAATTTAGTTGCTTTTTTTTGTATATGGCAATATTTACCAGTTTTAAAATATAAATACTAATGTATACGATACCGAGTGCTAGTTTTCGAAATATTTCGTTTGAGACCTCAAGTTTTATTTTCTTGATATATCGTTTAATCTTTTAGTATTACAAATGCGACCCTATTCATTTCAAAATATAGTACAAATTCGCATTCCATTCCACACAGACACGTTTCAGTAAGGATGTATACGGTGCTTTATTTGAATGTATATAACGACGGGCACTGTTTGTGTTTTGACATTGTTTTCTGCGATATCAAACTCTATGTTGTTACTAGTAAAGTACATAGTAAAAAGTAAAAATGTTCAAGAAGAAATGTTGTGACTTAGTATTATATTTGAAAAGATTTATCGATGTATTTAGCAGTGAATAAGTACAATATTTGCGGTGGATTATCAATAATAATAGATGTCGTGTCTATAGTCATATAGACCTCAACTAATAGGTATATTTAAGAAAACAGGGCCTTATCTGTTTTTTTTTTAATGGAAGATAATGCAATGGTTTCGTGAATGTAGTCGACTTAATAGAGCGTATTGCTAGCAATAGTATTGCTAGTAAAACTGGGTAATATATAGTTATATTTATATATTGTAGTTACTATATCTATACAGATATATTATATAAGATATCGGTTATCCAATATATATCGATAAGAAGAATGCTAATCTTCTATACTTATAATAAATCTGTAGAGAGGTCAATTCTGTACATGAAATATATTTCCAAAATAACTATCAGGCGGTGATTAGTGATCGATACTGATGCCAAAAATGCAATCAGTAAAATGTTTGTGTCTGTCTGTATGTCTGTTATAGAAACAAAAACTACTCGATGGATTTTAACGAAACTTGGTACAATTATTCTTCATACTCCTGGGCAGGTTATAGTATAATTTTCATCACGCTACGATCAATAGAAGCAGAGCAGTGAAGGGAAATGTATCTGTTACATCAAAACCGCTGAACGGTGAGGAAGGACATAGGCTAGTTATTTTACGAAAAAGGACGGAAACGCGGACGAAGTCGCGGGCAACAGCTAGTAGAGAATATAGATATCCAATTAGTATGGGCGATATCACAATGGGTGATCATCAATGTACAGTAGACCTCAATATATAGATATTAGATATTATCCATCACTAGTTGCCAGTTCCCATTACTAGCAATCTCTTCTCTCCTAAACGCGCCGTGTACCTATAGGAGATTCCAAATTTTTTTGTCATTTAATTGTTCCTTAGGTTTAAACGTTTAGTTTCATTAAAAACACTCACTTCAAAGGATCATAATAATTTCTATTTGAACAATAAAAAAAAAAAAACTGTATCAAAGTCTACTGTGAACTATATTAGAGATCTACAATTAAATCGTTATAGACACTTCAAAGGTGTAACGACAAGGTCGCGGTGCACGAAGTGGGGGCTAAAAGGTCAAGGAGGTAAGGCTCTGTGTCAGGTCAGGGACACTTAAACGGTTCCCCATTATTTTTACAACGGGCCAATCGAATTTCCCCGTGTTCGGTAATACTGAAGCCAAACAATATGTCTATTGTATTTATTAAGCTTATAACTTTTTTACCATTTTCAATTGGGCCGTGAACTTTTTTCAATTTATGTAGCATAAAAAAACGTGACTATACTTTTCATCTGGACAGAAAAAGAATCGAACGAGGATGTCTTGAAAAGGTTGAATCAGGAAAGAATATTAATAAAAACAATAGACAATAGAAGAAGCAAAATGCTGAGTCACCATACACGACATGTCGATTTTTAACTACTACAAGGGTAGTAGGAGCGTACTACAAGGAAAAATAAAGGGCAAAAGAAGAAGGGGAACACCGAGAAACAATTGCATGGGACAGATAAAGGAAACACTAGGTGTCATGTCGTATAGGCATGTCGTATATGGCCTGGAATAGAGCTGGCTGGAAGAGAATACATGAATTAGTTTCCCCGACAAGTGGAAACTCTTAAATGAAAAGAACAAAAATCGATAATTAATTTTAAATTTTCGCATTTACATGTCTTCCTAATATTATAAAATTGCATATAGACTATATTTTTATATATGTATATGGGAGATATTTTAGAAAAAAAAAGTGACAGGTAACAGGAAAAAAAAAACTATTATATTCTTAACAAAACATCCCACATGGGCAATATAGGAGTAAAAATTCAAAAATCAAATACTAATAATAAAAGAATATTCACAAAATTAGTTTTAAATTATCCAAATTTATCGCGTAACATAAAATAAAGAAGTACATGCGAATTGGTAACCTCCTACTGTAGTATAGGTAGTTTAAAAATATGTAAATGTCTAAATATGTAACTGAGAATAAAAATATCTTGTTTCCGTCCCGATAAGAAAGGATTGGATTGCAGCTTTACACACGAGCATAATGGGCTGCTATTTACTGGAGTGCTGGAGGCAAGCCAAAGTAAAGCGCTGATATAGAACGCGAATCACTACAGTTTAAAGACACGTAAATTATAAGCCATTATTTTCACAATTTACTCGTGCCCTTGCAATATATATTTAAATAAAATCTATCTATCTAAATCTATCGTGTTAAAATTACTTTCATGGTATTTATTCATTCTCGCTAATTTTCTAAAACGTTCAACCTATTTTAATAAAAGTATGTGTTTCGGTTTGAAGGGTGGGATATGACAGTGAACTTACAGGGTATAGAGGAATTACCTGAGTCCTCAGGAATGGCAACACATGTGAAGTATCATGGGCGAAACAGTATACTCTCTTATGTCCATAGTACTGCTCATGTCTATAGGCGACCACTTTTCGTCAGGTTGCGCCGTCGGCTTGTGTGCCATTCTAAGTTGTATAAAAAAATGATGATAAGAAGATGAACTCACCCAACAGTGACATCGAAAATATTGCTGCCCACCGAGCTGGAGACGGCCATGTCCCCAAAGCCCTTCCTGGCCACGATGACGGACGTGATAAGGTCCGGAACCGAGGTGCCTGCCGCGAGCAGCGTCAGCCCCATCACCTCGGGGGGTATTTTCGCGGTCGCGCCGGCAACGTTCGCCCACCATACCATTAGGTACGAGAAAAACGCTATCCAAACTATTGACCCTATAAATGTTATAGGGAATAGGTTTTTCCCTGAAAAGAAATAGGTTTATAGTAATTGTTAATTATATTTATGTGGCATTTTGTTGTTATTTTGTATTTATGTAGCATTCAAAGGGATTGTTAGTAATGGAGACTGAGAATCCCATTGCTAGCAATATACCCAACCAGCTCGATCTCCTCGCGGTTCCCCCTGGAAACTATCATGATTAATTCCTGATGAATTCATCATGATAGGCTAACTGGCCTGTTTTCATTCTCATCTATCACCCTTCACTGGTGCTCCGCCAGCGTATCCTGTTAGCGCAGGCGGGGTTATCATACCATTTTCACCCATAAAAAAATATACCTCGTCCGGTCGATCTCCACGTGGTCCGCCCTGGAAATCATCGTGCTGAATTCTTGGTGTATTCATGACGATGAGCTAACTGACTTGCCTTTCCGTCTCACCTATCATCCCTCACTGGTGTTCGCCAGCGTACACCGTTAGCGCAGGCGGGGTTACTACTCCATTGCTATTTATTAAAAAAAATCTACATTGTGGTACATTTAACAACTGGCGACTAACCTCTCGGAGTCCGCGTGTCCGGGAGGGTGATCCATAGAGGGAAGACAATGGGTGCAACTAACAAGTACGTCAGTCGCTTACGGAACCCGGTAGGCCACGACATGTCCAGCGGGGTCGTGTCCTCCTCCAAGTCCCCTATCTGCAATTAATTTATATATATTCTTTATTGCACTTGTAAGTTACATTGTTAATGCATTTAAAAATGTGAGCAACTGTGGACTTGTCTCTGATAGAGATCTCTTATAGACAACCCAATACAGTTAGAAAGCATGTCGTTAGCTGGTAGCTAAAGTGCTACATCGATTAATATTTAGAATACGAAATGCTATGAACACTAATAAATACATAAAAAAATATTAATTTAAATGAAATATCACTATGTACATAGTACAAAACAAAGTCGCTTGTATGCTTAGATCGGATGGATCTTGACAGGGGAATTGATTCGTTTTTTTTAATAGATAAAGTGACTCAATAGGAAGGTTTATATGTATAAAACATACATAATATAGCAGAAGAACACTGATAATTTTAGAAGTTTCTAACGTAATGTTGTAATGTAATGGGGGGCGGCGACGCTATTTAGTATCGGCATTGCACCCGTATGAAGCCATGGCGGGACGTTAGTTAAAATATATAATATTACATAAACACATATACTAGAAATAAATATAATACCTACCTAATTAAAATAAATGTTAAAATAAATGAATATATTACCTACATTAGAAATTTAGTTTAATGATTTGCATGCATTTTTTTATTACAAACTTTCAATTGCAATAAATTCATTTATGTATGATTAATACGGCATTACTAATTACATATTAAATTATTCAATGTAAATCAAAATTGCCGTGTGGTCCCAGGATAGAACAGGCCACCCCTTCTTACCCCGTGGGTGTCGTAAGAGTCGACTAAGCAGCTGTAGCGTTCCTCTTAAAACATTTCTAAAGCCTGACTGCGGTTGCCAATACGTCAGCCAAGCGTGGCAACTATTAGCAAAACCTCTCAAGGGGGAGGCTAGTGTTCAGCAGTGGACAGTTAAAAGCTGATATAATGACGAGGATGAGATCGAATGACATATCTATATAATAATCCAGAGGGAGACTTTGAACAAAAGTCGTTTGCAAATGGGGTCACTGTAGCCTATGTATCATGAAATAGGGTTGTTACAATGTTCTTATGAAGAGAAAGTATATAAACCCTGTTTGAGTGTAGCACATTTTAATCGATAATTAGCTAATATACGTGCATCGATTTAGATCAATTTAGATGTTAGATTACATTTAATTACCCTTACAAATAGTTGCTCGTTTTTATATATATATATATATATATATATATTTAATGCAATTTAAAACGGCAAATAGGCTGACGGCCCACCTGATGGAAAGCGGTAACTGTCGCCTATAGACACGAGCAGTACCATGGACATAACAGAGTATATTGTTTCGCCCATGATACCACTCACGCGTTACTATTTCTGAGAACTCAGGTGTTATTCTCTTGTACTCTGTAAATTCACGCCATATCCCACCTTTCAAACCGAAACACAGGCATGCAAACACAACTTCTTCACGGCATAAACACGAATGGAACATATGAGACGCTTCTTATATATGTATATTCTGTTGCAATTATGTTTTTCTGTCAATAAATATTTTCTATTCCATTCTATTCATTAGCTTAATTTACAATTCATGGAAACGTAAAATAAAGGTAATACAAAATGGTAATAGTTGTTCTGTCCATTTATCTCTGTACATGAATGATAAACCGGCACATGTGTGGCCTATACTTTTTAGTTTCCTCAGGTAGGAAGCAGGCGTCATTAATCTCACTCTAAAGGTACTGTAGTAATGTATTGTCGATAAACCTATCGGCTAGTTGTGGGTAAAATGTGGGGTATCGAGCGAACATGTTTTGACATTATCTTATTTCGCCTAGGTTAGATCAGTATCTCCTCGTTTCTGTATAGATTAGTGCTTACATTATTCTCAAGTTCGTGTATAATATAGTATATATCATATATGTGTAATTATATTTGTTATTCATATATATTTATTCGTTTATATATGTAATTTTAGTATGTATGTATATCAATAATTAGTAGTGCCGCATTCGAGTATTCTGACACTTCCCTATGGTTGACTGGGAGAAAATGCTTTTAGCATTAAGTCCGCCATGTACACATATATGTACTAATGAATAAATAAATAAATTAGTATTTCTATATTTATTTGTTTATTTATTTCATCAGCTGAGTGAGCTTTACAGTCTCCCAATACGCTCACCCAGGAAAGCATCAGTACAGTAACATATATGTTTAATTAAATGTATTAATTACTTTGAAATCAATAATAACAACTATATCTTAAATTTTAGAACACAAACACTTTCTCCCTCCCTTAAATCCCTTACTTGAGATATTATTGATTCCCCATACAAACTTCCATGCCTTAAGTTTTATTTTAAAGATAAAATGTAGTCTCTGCCCTTTTTTAAAGTCAAATCTATCTCTATTTTAAAATTTAATAAAATTGGTTTAGAGGTTTAGACGTGAAAAGGTAAATAATAAGGGTAAAAGGTAATGTAAAATAAATCTTTTTATCTAGTAGGTTGAAGCAAATATAGAGTTATTAACGTATTTGTAATATTAGTATGAATATGTACTGTAATCATTTATATTAATATTGTTTGTTAGAAACCTGTCGAGGTTTTCCCAAGAGAGTACAGCATGGGGTTCTTCAAAAGGGGGATAAAGAGGTTTCTTCAGGGTCAGCAACGCGCGCGTAATACCTCTGGTATTGCAGGGGTTCATAGGTTACGGTAACCGCTTATCATCAGGTGGGCCGTATGCTTGTTTGCCACCTCAGTGGTATAAAAAAAAAAACAAATATCTCTGTACGGTGCGCTCAATCGCGCTGTACCTTGTAAATTCACTGCCATATCCCATCCTTCAAACCGAAAAACAGTCATGCAAACACAACTGCTTTACGATTGAAACACGAATGGGACTGAATGAGACTGTTTAGCAATAAGACCGCCGAATTACTACACTATACTTATTGAAAAAAATTTCAACAAGTCCTGTGATATGGGTAGAGGGGGAAAGGGAAAGTTAGCAATGGAGTTTGATAGCCCCATTGCTAGCAGTATGCCTTATCGGATCGACCTCCACGTGGTTCCCCCTGGAAACCATTGTGAACAATTCATGTTGAATTCGTCATTGGGGATGGGCTAACTGACCTGCTTCATCCTCACCTATCATTCTTCACTGGTGCCCCGCCGGTGTATACGGTAGCGCAGGTGGGGTTACTATTTCATTATCACCCATTAAAAAACAAAGTCTTGTGATATTGGTGCAATAAAGTGTTAAATAAATATTTAAATTATTAGTTCTGAGTTTATTTCTACGGTAACATCTTACATCAATCATCCCATCCTAAGATTGAACGTTGGTACTTCCTACTACCTATATATCCTTTAATTACAAGGTAATTTATTAACTTCCAGTGTCGGACACTTTTAGGGCAATTTTACACGAAACAAGATTAATTGACTGATAGGACATAGGGTTGATACATTATCTGATAGACGGCCACTTCGGCTCTTGTTTTAAGTGGTATGACCCCAGGGTGAATAAGGTAATAAGGGTTCGAAAAGGATAGATTATTATCGTTTTTTGTTTTATAAAACTTAGAATGGCAATCAAGCTTACGGCCCACCTGATGGAAAGCGATAACCTTCGCTTATAGACATGAACATCACCATGAATGTCGCAGAATAGTCTGTAATGCCATTCTTCAAGACTAGGGTGTTGACTAGGGGAAAAAAAGTTTTTGAGTGGCGACCCCATACGGCCAAACGTAGTGTAAGACGACCCCTCACTAAATGGAGTGACGACCTCAAATGCATTGCAGAGAGTGGATGCAGGTGACTTAGGACCGTTCCTTATGGCAGTCTATGGTGGAGACTTATGTCCAGAAGTGGACGGATAATGGCCGAATTTTTAAATCGAAACGCAGCTATACAAGCATAGCTGCTGCATAAAAGAAAAAGGGGTTGGGGGGGACAGAGTTACTTAAGCAGATGACCTTGGTTGTGTTCCAAGATCATCTGCTTTCTGCTAGTTATTTTTTTAATCAACTTAGAATATCGAATAAGCCACTGATGGAGATTGGTAACCGTCATCATAAGATATAAGCAGTACCATGGACATAACAGAGTATACTCTTTCGCCCATGATACCTCATGATATAGTTATTTAAAGAAATATTAATAAATTGTGAGTACTTTATATGTATTTTTTTGGTAAAATGTATAATAATTCATAAGTTGTGTTATATACAAGATAACTAGATAAATGTCGAGTGATATCCGTGTATCAAAAAATCTATACGATGCCACTCAAATTTGGATAAGTATCGAAGCTAGCTAGTAGTCATTTATAATGTAACAGATTGACTGACATACAATTATACCGTCATATATCTAGGTGCATGAAAGAAAGAATGAATCGATTTTCAAAAATTACTATGAAAACATACTATTTCCATATTGCCTGCAATATGGCTGAGGAATCCGCTGTCAACAGTTTGTATATGCCAAAATCAGAATTATTAGTATTTTTCTATTATTAATTAATTTATTAATAATAATTACTTGATTATTAAGAATTAAGAAGTTAGTAGTAATTATTGTACAATATTGTTCTTTTAAAAAATACTACTAGATTGTTTCCTAAAGAAACAAGGAATAAAAAACAATAAAAAAAAATATAGCATCGTACACTACGGTTTCATAATTCTATAATTGAATACGCTGTAATATGAGAGGATCAAATTCGTTTGTTATTATAGTAATTATAAATATGTATGGTATATAGGTTCGCGTCGAAGGACCGGGTTTTTAGACCATAATAAACTGGTCTTTTCATTCAGATGCATAATCGATACAATTATTATAGAAGTCCTTATAAACGAATAAAATTATCCGGCTCGGTGGGACAAGATCTTAATAATTTGGTCCTTCGAGCCGGATAGTTTATCTAAACTTAATTATTGCAGATATATTTTCATACGTACCTCTTCTATAGCATCTAATTGAACGTCCGCGAGCCCCCCATTGGGGAGATCGAGCGGTGTCTCTTTCGCCTGCGCAGCGACCGCCGAATGCCTCGCGGCGGTGGCGCCCGCGCCGCCCGCCGTCGGCCGCGTAGCCTCGAGCAGCACTTTGAGGGAGGCTATCGCGTGTAGCTGCGTTGCCTTCTCATCCACTTTGCCTGGCGGACAAAGTATTGTGAAAAGTGTGAGGCCAAATCGGTCACGTCATAAAATATATGTAATATAAAATACAATATTGCTTTGAATGTACTTAACAGAGGAGTTTTTTATCTTTTTTTTATTAATATACAAACTACATCCCGCGGCGCATCGATCAGTAAGTACATAGAGTATCCTATGTACCAAATTAGGCTAACGGTTATATATAACCTACTCATGTAGCAAATTTCATTCTAATCTGTTCAGTAGTTTTTGCTTGAAAAATTTGAACGTGTTTTGATGATTCTTATTTAATAGAACAATTTACTTCATTTTTAATCTAATAATATCTACCTAATATGAAGGTAGAAGTTTTTATGACCAGATTATTTATTTATTTATAACATTATAACTGGTAAAATTACAATTTTTAACGGTTTCATTTTCTAGACAACATTGGGCACATCAAATTAGGGTGAGGAGGGTAAACTTTCATATTTATTTATATATAATATCGCATGTACTTAATTATATATCATAATTTCTATTTATTACTATCTGTAATAAATCTTACAAATGAATGATTAATTTTTATGTGTAGATATTGCAACAGTTCTCTAATAATATTAATGATACCCATATACTTATAAAAATAAAATAAAAAAAAAACATAATAAAGCGGTCGTGATTAATAATAAAAAAATAATAAAATAAAAATGTTTGTATTCTGCTTTTAAGTGCATAGGTGTATTGCGTATTAGCGTATACAGCATTGAATTTATATGAAGGTGTCAAGATAATTCTTAATATTTTCCAATATATCTCAAGAAAGAAGGTACTTACAATAAAAATATGGTTAGATATTGTTTATAAAACCTTATGTTTGGAAATCACTAGTCAGACCCGTTTACTACTTATGTAAATATATACCACAGTTCTAAACTAAACCTTAATACTGTACATTAAAGTACAAAGTGAGAAATGTTTCAGCAACGTTTGATACAGAAACAATTCCCGTATGCGATTATAAGATATATAAAACCGGAGCAATGCTGCCCTCTGTCGAGAGCACAATGGGTGTGAGTGACACGAATAAATGAACTTCTACCTCACGAGAATGTTTCAAATAAGTATCTATACTATACTTATACTGGGGGGAAAGGGATTGTTAGTAATGGGGATTATCAGTACCATTGCTAACAATATACCCTTACAGGTCGACCTCACCGTGGTCCCCCCTGGAAACGATCGTGCTGAATTCTAAGTGTCTTTATCACGATGGGCTAATTGGCCTGTCTTTTCATCCTCACCTATCATTCCTCACTGGTGCCCCGCCAGCGTATACCGTTAGCGCAGGCGGAGTTACCATTTCATTATCATTAAAAAAAACTATACTTATACTAATATTTTTAGATATAGAGAGGAATTCAGGAGATTTGATAGTGAATAAACTCAAAAATTACTCAACTGATTTTCAAATTGTCTTTTCATGTATAAAATTACATAATTTGCGTGTAACTTAGGTTATAAATTATTAAAAAAAAAATTAGAGATTTCTATGAAAATTACAATAAAATATCTTTAAGTATTAAAAATTTGCCTATTGAAACAAATATACTCGTAAAATACGAATTTATTCTGCTATCAACCTACCCGTGAGAAGCCGGGCCGGATTTGTACCTATATGAGTTTTAAAATCAAAACAATAATATTATAAATTGATAATTACGAGTAAAACAGGTATTTTATTAAAATATTTGAATTATATAATATTTAACATAATTATTTATTATATTTTATAGTTAAAAATGTTTTTAACAGGGACCAATTTTGTAAATTGTTAATTTTTAAGACTTTAAGAGTTGGCAACTCCTTGTCTCTCTTCCATTGGTCATCGTTTGTAATATGTTAGCTTTTATTAAATAAATTTATTTAAATTACATATATAAACCTACTTATTTAAATTAAAAAGCAAAATTTGCAAAAATTGGCGACGGTGTGATAGATTTTTTTTAAAGATAAAATTAATAACTTCGATTGCTTTATTAGTATACGCTGGAAGAGGTACCGGTGAAGGCAGACAGTTCACTAGTCAACTTACTTTAGTGGGGGGAAAGGGATTGTTAGTAATGGAGACTGAGAATCCCATTGCTAGCAATATACCCAACCAGGTCGACCTCCTCGCGGTTCTCCCTGGAAACTATCACGGTTAATTCCTGTTGAATTCGTCAGGATGAGCTAACTGACCTGCTTTCATCCTCATTAGTCATCTGTCACTGGTGCCCCGCCAGTGTATACCGATAGCGTAGACGGGATTACCATACCATTTTCACCCATCAAAAAATCGTATCATTTTATTTTCATCAATAAAAATTAACCATTCCCAAACTTTCAAATCCAATAAAATACCAGTACCCACATAATGAATTCAGATTATCATCTCACGAGAGAAAAACACACAAAACTTTCTGCTAGAACTCATTACTGTATGCCAGTCGTACTGCGGGAACCAAAAATAGGTCAAACAGTAGGCTATTGCGCAAAAGAAACTTTGAACAACAATGCGCGATGTTGAACAAGAACGCCATACGCGAGTTGGACGTATGACCGTCCATTTAAATAGTCTCGGGGTGAGATTATATTATATGTTTAAAATAGTTTGTTCACATCTACTTGCAGTTACAGTATATGTAAACTGAAAGTTTAGAAGAGTCTGCTTTGAAGTTTTGATAACAACTAGACGTGGTGAGATGCCAAGTGGCCTCTACGCTGTACTCCAGTTTGAAAGGCATAAATGACAGTGGAATTATTAAACATTAACTTTCATAAGATTTTCAAAGTAGGAAAAATCATGAAATAGATTGTTCTAGATGGCGTATTAGGATAAAAGGTATACCAGTTTTTAAGTTAGATCTTGAGGAATACAACTGCAAAAACTGCATCCAATTTGATGCAGTACTTTTTGTGTGATGCCGAAACGGATTGACTTTTGCCTTTTGCCCGCTGCGTCGTATGTGACGATGGCACAAGTAAGTAAATCAATGAAATAGGTCACTAGATGGCTTATCAATATTTTTTTTATACGACTTAGAATAGCAAACAAGCTGACGGCCCACCTGATGGAAAGTGGTAACAGTCGCCTATAAACATGAGCAGTACCATGGACATAACAGATTATACTGTTTTGGCCCCGATACTCCCATGCATTGCCATTCTTCAGGACTAAGATGTTATGCCTCTGTACCCAGTAAATTTACAGCCATATTCCACCCTTCAAACCGTAACACAGCCATGCAAACACAACTACTTCACGGTAGAAACACGAATGGGACAGAGGTACCCAAGCAATTGACTTATATATATATATATATATATATATATATATATATATATATATATACTCAACCCGCAAATATTGTGGAAGTAAGACGTGTAAACATACGGTCCGTGTAAATTAATTTAAAATACTATTAAAAAGTTGATTTTCGGTAGTGCAACTTATACAAAAACATTTATTAATTATCAAACTTACATTCCATTGCAAAATTACAACTTAATATTGTAGAAGTGTAACAGAGAATAAAAATATATTAACAACTTATGAATTCCGTTGCGTTCATGCAGTGATTTTAGTGTAACGGTGAGTCATCGCTGCAGCAGCGCAGTCGCGCATTTCTACCTACCTGTTGATGTTGAGCGGCCGTTCAGGAAATATAATTTGTTCATTATTTATAACTACCTACATATTGAGTATTTGTAGTTTAATTATACTACGTTATAACTTCAGTACACGTGCAAATCTATTAAAATGGCATCAAAGAAAATATCTTGTGCTGGATGTCTTAATATCATAATGGGCAAACTGTATCTTAAATGCCATACGTGTAGAGATATTTACGACTTATCGTGTGCTAATGTTTCTGAAAAACGGTTTAACAACAATATGACCAAGGAACATAAACAGGCTTGGGTATGCCCTGCATGCCGAAATAAACAACCTAAGGGAGATAATACCAATACACCCATACGTCAAGGGAACTTAGGAAACCTAAACAAGTCTTCTGATAGCGAGGATTCTCAGAGCAGCTATGTCACTCAACGAAAAAAGCAATCAACATCGTTGTATTCGCATTCTGAAGATGAATTGAGAAGACTCATCAAATCGGAAATGCGAGCTTCGCTGCGTGAGGAGCTTCCTGATCTGATTCGCCCAATGTTAGAAAAAGAACTATACCCCCTTAAAGAAAGACTACAAGATCTTCAAAACACAGTTCAGTATATAAGTAATCAGTATGAAGATTTAAACAAGACAATATCAACATTGTCATCGGACTACAATAAGATGAAATGTCAATGTGATAATTTGGAATCCACAGTACTATCTTTAACGGAACGCATTAATACTATAGACCAAAATCTAAGAGATTCTAATATTGAGATACAGGGAGTCCCCGAAAGTAAAACAGAAAACCCGCTTAGTATTATTAAGAAAATTGCTGAAACTGTGTCTTACAACCTTTCTGACACTGATGTTTTGAATTGTACAAGAGTTGCCAGTATGAATAGGAATAGCAAGCGGCCAAGAGCTATAATCACAAAATTACGAAGTACACGATGTCGTGACGAACTGTACTCTGCCATTGCTAGATATAATAAGTCTCATCCCCACAATAAACTTAACTCATCAAACCTCGGTATCAGTGGTAATATTGTGCCAATATATGTATCGGAGCATCTTTCTCCTTTTAATAAATCTGTGCATGCTGCAGCCAGACTCAAAGCGAAGGAATTAGCTTATAGATTCGTGTGGGTACGAAATGGACACATATTTATGAGAAAAAACGAAACCTCACAATTTATACATGTTAAAAATTTGCAGGTGTTGGAGAATCTGCAGTGAATTTGTAGTTTATAACTTCGTAGTGTACTTTTTGTTTTGTTTTTTTATTTTATTTTTATTGTATTTTTTTTGTAATTACCTTTTTAAAATGGATAAGATGGATGTAACGATTTATTATCA